ACCCAAAGACAAGGGATGTCTTTCCATTTTCTGATATCCTCTTTGATGTCCTTTTTTTCAGGGTAGTGTAGTTTTCCATGTAAAGGTCTTTTAATTCCTTTGCTAGATTGATTCCTAGGTATTTCATTTTTTTGGATGCTATTGTGTTTCCCTAATTTCTCTCTCAGTGCGAAATGCCCTTGATTTTTTGAGTGTTGCCTTTGCATCCAGCTACTTTACTGAATTTGATTATTAAGTCTAGAAGTATTTTGGTGGAGTTTTTGGGGTCTTCTATGTAGCGTATCATGTCCTCCACAAATAATGATCATTTAGCTTCTTCCTTTCCTATCCTTATTCCTTTATTTCTTTTTCTTGTCTAATTGGTCTGGCTAGTGTTTCCAGAACTATATTGAACAGGAGTGGTAACAGTGGACATCTTTGTCTTGTTCCTGATTTTAGAGTGAAAGCTTTCAGTTTTTGTCCATTTAGGATGATGTTGGCTGTTGGTTTGTCATAGATGGCTTTTATCAGATTGAGATAAAGACCTTCTGTACCAATTTTCTGTAGGTTTTTATCATGAATAGGTGTTGGACCTTGTCACCTGCTTTTTCTGTGTCTATTGAGAGGATCATATGCTTTTTGTCTTTGGCTCTGTTAATATAGTGTATTACACTGGGCCAGGGATTTAGTTGAGTGGTTCTGTAAGTGCAAGTGCAAGGTCCTGAGTTCTATCCCCGGTACAAAAAAAATATAGATAGATAGATAAATAGATAGATAAATAGATAGATAGATAGATATCTGGGATGAATCCTACTTGGTCATGGTATAACTTTCTTGATTTGCTGCATTCCGTTTGCCAGTATCTTATTGAGAATTTTTGTGTCTAAGTTCATTAGAGAGACTGAAGGCCCTGGATTTGATCCCTACCACCATTTCAGATAAATAACAAATAACTTTTCAAATGTAAGTATAATCCCATGAATATTTTAGGACCGAGGATTTAGCTCAGTGGTGCCACGCCTGCTTTGCAAGTGCAAGGTCCTGAGTTCGATGCCCGGTGCCAAAGAAAAAAAATTTTTTATCTGGCAACCCTACTATCACAGGAAGGGGTCTGAGGAGGTCCCCCAAGGAGGAGATGGGGACCCCAACTCAGCCTTCAGAGTAGATACTTGACTCATCTTCACAGAAAAGCATTTCTGGACATGCAAGTGTGAGACAGGCAGATGTACAAGGAAGAGCTTGAAAGAGAAAATACAGAAGGGACTTCAGCTTGGGCAGCTGAAGGGGGCAGAGCTCTGATGGAGGGGATCAGACTGGTCCCTCAATAGAAGGAAGAAAGGGTTGAAGGAGTCGGGGTGGGCTCGGGTCCACCTATGGCGATCTCATTTCCGGTTTTGAGCCCCCAGATCATGGCCTCGTTTCCGGTTTTGAGCCCCAGGCCCGATAGGCTACCCCTGAGGTGCTGTGGTGCTGAGCTGCACCCCCAGCGCCCTGGGTGTGTCTTTCTCATTCTTTGAAGATTCTCCTGCAGATGGAGGGCTTCCTGACAAAGGGAGCATTCGAAGCCAGTGACTTGGGGTCTTCCTTGTCAGAAAGTATCTTTTTATTTTCTCATTTCTCTCTTTTTGTTTGTTTTTTCTTTTTCTTTTTTCTGGTACTGGGGATCAAACTCGGGACCTGGAGCTTACAAGGCAGGCACCAGAACCACTGAACTAAATCCCCAGCCCTGTTTGTTTTCTTTTTTGAGACAGGGTCTTACCATGTAGTCCAAGCTGGCTTTGAAGTTGTGATCCTCCTGCCTCAGCCTCCCAAGTGCTGGGATTATGCTGGATTACAGGTGTGTGCCACTATGCCTGGGTGTCCCTGGTTTCTCTTGATAAATGGATTGGGTTTACTGTAGATAATTCTCACTCCATTATGTTTCCACTTCCAGGGTTGTGGCTAGGAAGTCCAGTCAGCTCTGATTCCTGCAAGTGTGTGTGTGTGTGTGTGTGTGTGTGTGGTACTGGGGTTGAACCCAAGGGCTCATACATGCTAGGGAAGTGCTCTACCACTGAGCTACATCCCCAGCGCTTTTTATTTTATTTGAGATAGGGTCTTGCCAAGGTGCCTAGACTGTCCTCAGATTTCTGATCCTCCTGCCTCAGCCTCCTGAGTAGCTGGGATTACAGATGTCTGAATTCTTTTAGGGTCTTTTCTTTATCCCTGGTATGGTGACATTTCATGATAATGAGGAACATTATAAATCTTCTTGTCTCTCTCGAAAGCACACACGGGTCCCCCTAAATGCCTGGAGACCCGGATGCTGGTCCTGTAAAATGACGATGCGTGGTCAGTGTGCTTGGCGGAGCACATCTAAGGGGGACTCCCCGAGCAGGGTGGCAGGTCCTAAGTGGGCTTTTTCCGTGGGTCCCCGAAGGTCTAGGGCTGCAGGCCTTTCCCTGGCTCCAGCACAGTTTCTACAGAAAAGGGTCCACCGTCTCCAGCCTAGGCCGGGCTGGGAGCTTACTTCTTAAGCAGATTTCCACATATCCCCCATCTTTTCAGTCCTGCACCTCATTCCCATCCTGCACGATGCCTGGTGTGCAGATCCAAGCTCCTGGGGAGTAAATTCCGGGCGTCCCACAGGAGCCCGCCCGCCTCGGCTTCCTCCACGCTGCCTCGTGACTCACGCCCCTGCCCACCTTCCACCTCCAAACTCCCGACCTCCTTCGTCTGCTGCTGCCTCTCCCCTACTCGGATACCTTGTCGCTTCTCCCTCTTCTTACTCCTTTAGACTCATTTTTGGTGGGGTGGAAGCTGGCAGACTCCTAAGACCCTTTTGCAGTACTTCAAGCTTTTAACGTCAGTTTTCACTCAGAAGCACTTGCAGTAAGTTTCCAGGGTGACTGTAAGGTAACTTGCTTTCTTGCTTGCGGTCAACGCAGGCCCTCTTTTCTTTCAGATCAATGTTTATTTATTATTAGTTTTCCTTTTTGCAGTACTGAGGATTGAAGCCAGGTCCTTGAGCATGCTAGGCAAGCACTCTTCCACCGAGCTACCTCTGCAGCCCTTTTTACTTCTCTTGTTTTGAGACAGATCTCGTTCGGTTGCCCAGGCTGGCCTTGAACGTGCAATCCTCCTGCCTCAGGCTCCCAAGTCTCTGGGATTACAGCCCCGAGCCACCACACTCAGGGGGTGGAGGTTCCTTGCTGGATAATGGGGCAAAGTTCAAATGCACACATTGTTTAAGGAATGAGTAACATGCTTGTGACCAATGAGACCACAGCAACAAGGTCCAGCTGCGGCTCTCTGCTCCCGCCTGCGCCCGGCCTGCGGAGGGGACGGAAACACACGGGAGGCCCTGTGCAGTGGGGCCCTTGCCCCAGTGCTCCTTGCCAGGCAGCCCTGTCTGTTGTGGTGACAAGAAGGCCCACGAGTCCTAGCCCTGGACTCCAGCGGTGCCTCCTCTCCTGCTTTCGTGGTTTTCTGCTTCCTGCTCTCGGGTTGTGTCTTTCCAGGGGAACTGCTTCCATCTGCGGGCCACGCAGACCCCTCCGTGCAGAGCTGCACCCGTGTCTCCAGGATTATGAAGACATTTTAGCAGTGACCCTCCCCGCTCTTGCAGGAGGGCGTGGAGTCCTGGAGACACCTGTGGTCATTTCAGCTCCTTTCAGCGAGCCCCCCTGTGCCCAGCTGCCACCTGGACCTTAACGAGCGGAGCCAAGGAGGGAAACGGCCCGGAGCTGGGCCCCGGGAAAGGTGGCTGTAGTGTGAGGAGGGTGGCAAGAGTTTATCGGGACAGCGAGTAGGCTGGACAGGTAAGGCCTCGAACACCAAGCTGAGGGCCCTGGACTTCCTGCTACGGCAGGAACTACCCAAGACTTGGAGCAGGAGAGTGACGGAAGGTGAACTATGCTTTAAGAAAACTAAGAGGCCGGGCGTGGTGGCGCCGCACACCTGTGATCCCCGCACCCTGGGTGGCTGAGGCAGGAGGATCACAAGTTGGAGGCCAGTCTAGGCGACCCAGCAACTTCATGAGACCCTATCTCAAAATCAGAGATAAAAAAGGGCTGGGGATGTAACGCTGTGAGAAGGATGTGGGTTCAATTCCAAGTACTAGAGGGAAAGAAAGGAAGAAAGTTTTAGTTTTGATCCTCGTAAGTCAGAAGGTTCAGAGCGGGAGAGGTCAGATCTAGCGGGCTGGAGAGTTCTGAAGCTTGGCTAGACGGATGACCAAGGAAGCGTTTAAGGAATCCAGCCCCGGACTCCCCTTTGAGGGTCTCTCAGGCAGAAGGTGGAGGGAGGCGAGAATCTGTGTCCTTGGACTCGGCCGTCTCAGTCGTGGGGCTGTGACCATGAAGAGGAGGGCAGGCCTGGCATAGGGGCCCGGTGAGTCCCGCTCCCCTCTGCCTACTGTAGGGTCCCAGAGGGAGGAAGTACGAGGAAAACCATCAAGCCGGGCCAGAAGAGCTGCTTTGAAACTGGTGTTCTCCCTGCAGAACACAGAAGAAAATTCAGTATGGGAGAAGATGATGACAGGAATGTTCAGGCACCCTGGGGTCTGGGAGGCTGAGGAGCTGGGAGCATCCGGGCATGGAGTGCATGGAGCTTCAGAGGGGAGGGTGGGGCTCAGATCCCTCGGGCCCCGCACTCCAGGGGGGCACACGGTGGGCTCCAGGGATGCACACAGCCCTCTTCCGAGGGAGGCTCTCTGGGCATCCGGAGAGCGGGCTTCGAAGTCTGGCTGTACCGATGGACCGTCTGTGTGGCTGAGCAGATCGCCTGTGCCTGTGAGCAGCAGCCTGTTCTGTAGAAAGTGCAGGCTTCGAGCAGCTGGCTTGTGTGGTCTTCATGGTGACCTGATGAGGGGACACATGTGAGGCTGGGCACTGTGCCCAACACCCTGGAGGGCAGCGCTAGGAGCAGTTCTGAAAAATGCCACTCCCTGAGAAGCCAGGGAGCCGTGTTTCACTCAGTGTTAAGAGATGAGGCCATAGGAAGGTGCCAATCCTCCTGTTTGCTGCTACCTGTTCCATGTGGCTCTGGGTGTATGCTCGGTGGCTCCTCTGCCTCTGATTTCTAGGACTTGAAGAGAAATGACGGTCCCTGGCTGCTGCATTTAATTGGACAGGAGCACAGAGACTGAGACTGTAATTATGACGTCTTAAATGTCAAACTCTTCAAAAGTCTGCTGTGCCCTCGCTGTCACCCTGAACAGCTCTGGGAACCAAAGCCTCGTACCCCCTCCCCTGCCCCTGAGCTCGTCCTGGGTCTCAGCCAGGCTTCACCTGGGAAATCTGAGTGACAGCGACGCGCAGGCGGCTGGAAGACGCACAGTGAGCCAGGAGCCTGTGATGAGCTCAGAAGAGGTGAGTTGATGATCGGCTATTTATAGCCCCACTAAGAGGCTCTGGCCGCCAGCTCCGCGGGAGACTGGGTGGAAATGATGCCTTCCCAGAGCTGAAAGCACGAAATGAAATTGGTGATTCATGGGCAGCCACCATTTGAAATACAAACACTCCTGTGTCCCCAGCCCCACCGGCCTTTCACGCCCATCTGGAAGGCTTTGAGCAAAGTTCTCAGGCTGCTGCGTCTATCTGTCCGTCTGTCCCTGCTGCAGCCTGCTTGTGTTTGGGCCGAATATGAGGACAGGCAGGTTGTACCCAACCAGGGGCCAGCGGAAGGCAGCAGCTCTCTTGGGAGTGTCTGACAACCTCAGCCCACGGCTCCCCCAAACCTGGGCTAGAACCTAGGCCAAGGGAGGGGGGAGAGAGAAAGGACAGGTCCTGGCACTGCTGTCTGTCTCCACGGGCAACAACAGCCACAGAGCGGCTTCCTGATGACACTTGTTCTTGCTGAACATGCAAAAACGTGCAGGGGGGAAATCCTTGCCGCCGTTCAGTTGTATTTGTTGCTCAGTTCCACAGCCCAGCACCTGTCACCTGAAACAGCTATTGTTTATTTTCCGTGTTAAGATCCTGGCTTGCAGGCCAAAGTCTTTCTGGAGGCCTCACTCAGCTCCCCCTAGGTGGGGCTGTACCAGAGTCTCCACTTTCTGCAGCCAGGACTGCATCTAAGGACAAGGAGCCGCACAGCCACCTGTGCTCAGAAGCCAGCTTGTCCAGTCTGTGTCGCCTACACTTGCTTGGCAGCCATATGGCTTCAGACAAATTCCTCCCTGAAACTCGGTTTTCCTTTTGTTTTTCGACAGGGTCTCACTATATGGTTCAGGCTGACCTTGAACTCACTGTGTAGCCCAGGTTGGCCTCAAACTCGTAACAATCCTCCTGCCTTAGCCTCCCAAGTGCTGGGATTACAGGCATCCGCCACCACGGCAGGCTGGGATCCGGTTTTCTTACCAGTAAAATGGGGATAATAACAGAAGCTGCCTCACCAGGTCCGGGTGAAGAGTAATAGATGTAACATGCAAGGTAGAAATGTCTGGCACGTGGAGAGCTCGACAACAGGTCTCAGTAGAGGCCCCCTGGATGTCACACCCGGGCACACAGGTGAACACAGCACAGCCTTCACTCCTGGGCACTTTGCCCAACCTGCCCCTGCCTTTGCAGTGCCCGGCCCTCAGGGTGGAGGCCTTGCCTGGGTCCTGGGGGAGCCTCCCCTGTGCAGCAGAGACTTCACCTGAGGCTCCCAGGTCCCCACCTGGGGGCCCGATGCTGGCAGGAGGGGCCCACCTTGCCCACCAGCTGGGCATGCAGCGTGAACTGCTGATTCGTGGGCACAGGGAGGCCTGGGCTGTTTGTGCATTCTCTCGTCACCAGCTGTCAGCCAAAGGATAACTGTAGTCGTCACTTTGGCAGTGAGGTGCCGTGATGTGTCCTGATACAACTGCCTCTGCTCCACCACGGTGATCGCGCTGGGAGGCGGGAGAGATCTGCAGCTACTGGGGTGGGGAGAACGATTTGGAACGTGGTCTTCGTGATGCTCCCCCAGGTGCGCTCCCCGGGGTGCTGTGAGCACCAGGGTCAGGCCCCGCGTTAGAGCTGGCATCTACAGGAAAGCGGTCCCGATAGTGTCCACTAATAAGAGTGCCTGCCTTAGACTGTGCAAAAGATGGGGTGTGGGATGGATGGAGGCAGCGGGCGATTAGACCATGGTGGAGGGAGACAGCACCAGCGATATAGCTGCGACAAGCTGAAAAGCAAGGGGGCTGAAAGGCCGGGCAATGAAGCTCAGACACAGGGAAGTCACAGGGAGCCCTCGGAGGCCGTCGGGCAGTGATGTGCTCAGCTGACAGGGTGGAGGTCTAGGCTCCTGGGCACAGAATCTTCGAATGAACCAGCATATACAAATATGCAAAAATCTGGGCATGGTGGCACACGCCTGTGATCCCAGCACTCGGAGGCCAAGGCAGGAGGATTACCACAAGTTCGAGGCCCGCCTGGACTACACAGTGAGTTCAGGGCCAGGCTGAACTATCAAGCAATACCCTGTCTCAAAAAACAAACAGGGCCAGGGATTTAGCTCAGTGGTTCCGCGGCCTGCCTTGAAAGCACAAGGACCCGAGTTTGATCCCCGGTACCAGACAAACAAACAAACAAAAACAAATGTGCAAAAGTGGGAGACCACACACACAGTCAGGTCAAAGACGGGGGAGGCTCTTGGGGTGAGAAATGGTCCCACTTCGAGCAGGAGTGGTCTCCCTCTCCCCTGCTCCCCACCAGGAACACAGCAGGGAAACAGCGGCACGTGCTTGCTGGAGGAATTCCGGGAGAAGGTTCCCCCTGGGCAAACTGAATCAATACCATTTCATAGGTTGACTGACGAAGAGGAGGATGAAGCGTTGGGAGCCATCCCGTCGGCAGAGTGCATCTGGCCGGTCACATAAGTCAGGAAGACTCGATTCAGCCGACAAATATTCTGTGCACCTCCCTGGAAGTGCACTGTTGTGCAAGAAGTGGTTTGGCAGGGATTCTCTCCTTTCAGCTGCAGGCCATGGAGGGCAGGAGGCCTCTGCTTGCCAAGGAGGAGAGGCCATAGGACGAAGGCTCCGTCTGGCCTGAGCTTCTGCAGAGTGTGCCCGAATCCGGCTGCAGGGGCAGTTGGGGGGGGGGGGGCGCGAGCACAAACCTCTTCCCTCAGGGCAGGCAAGGTGCTGAGCTCCTGTCACAGTCCTGCCACAGCCACCTCTGGTGCTCATGGCTGGTTTGGAGCAATATGCCAAGATGTCGTTTTGTCTATTTGGTTTGCTTTTTCCTTTAAAATTTATAAAATGTGATGGTAACATGTAGCCAAGCTTGGTGGCGCATGACTGTAATACAAATGCCCCCCCTGCTCTCTCCCTCATGCCAGGGATTGCACCCAGGGCCTTGTGCATGCTGAGCATGTACTCTGCCCCTGAGCTACATCCCCATGTCATGTTTTGTTTGTTTGAGACAAGGACTCACTATGTAGTTCAGGCTGGCCTCGAACTCAGAGTGATCCTCCTGCCTCAGCCTCCCGAGTACTCGGATTACAAACTTGTGCCACCACGCCTAGCTCCCATGTCAAATGTTTACAACTGAAGTTCTATCTTTAGAAAATTGAGAAGTGGTCTAGTCTAAGGCAATGAAAGGCAGAGGTAACCCGGACTGGTAAACTATTCAGGACACCCACTACATTTCGCCATCTCCCATGAGTTCTCTAACTTGGACTTGGCTCCCTGCCTCCATGCCTCCCAAGCTCCCCCCAGGCCCCATCCCTGCAGCCCTGCTTGGACCCGCTGACCCCATCCCTTCTTCCAGGCCCTGGTGATGGCCCCAGGCTGAAACCTAGGCCAGCAGAGCCAGCTCATCCCCAAGGTGAAGCCAAGCAAGTGCTTGAGGCTTTGGCTGCCTGCTTCCTGAGGGAGCTCAGGGTTGTGAGTCAGGCTGACTCAGGCTGATGGTCATGAGAGGCCTTGTGAGCTGGTCACGGGCCTTGTGAGAAGGGGAACCAATGAGAAAACCCTGTGGTCCAGAGAGAAAGACAGCTGTCCAGTGAGCCCCTAGGGGACCTCCTGCACCTGGAGTCCCACTCTTGTCCCAGCCGGCATGGGTGGCTGTCTACCGAGAACAGCCACAGCCCAGTGACCTGGGGGCTGGGGGGTGCGGCTGCCCCGTCCCCAGGCACAGGAGTTTCCCACATCCCGGGAGGCAGGCAGGGAGCAAGGTGGTCTGTTCCAGAGCAGAGAGCAAATGCCTGACTTGCGCCACTCCCTGGGACAGTGGTTACCCTTGAACAGCTTTTCTCGGTAGAGTACTTGCCTAGCACCGGCAAGGCCCTAGGCTTGACCTCCAGCACTACAAAAAGAAAAAAAGAAAAAATATATCTAGGGGTAGGGCAAGGAGGGAAAAGAAGATAGAAAAGAAGGAAATGTTTCTTCCTGGCTCACCTCCCAAGGCCCTGAGGGACGGCCCGTGAGAGCCCGAGTCAGTCGTGAGGTAGCCCGAAGCCCTGGCAGAGCAGGAGAGCCTGGCGCTCCATGCAGAAGCGCTCTGAGAGAAGCGGCTTTGTGCAAATAGCCAGTCACGATTAATGGATGGGCAGGCTCTCGGGCAGAGGATCGGATTTCACAGATACACACACATATACAATTTGGCTCTGCTGAGCAGGAGCAGGAAATGTTCATTCAGCACGAGGCAGGATGGCATAAGGCAAGCAGATCCAAATAAAGGTTTTCCATCTCTCAAACGGGTACCTTCTCCCCCTCTTCACCTATTCAGGGAGCATGCATTGAGCACCTACTGGATGCTAAGCCATGTACCAGGCGCTGAGCTCCACCGTGAGCTCTTCCTGCCCCCTGGTGCTGGAGGCAGGCATGCAAAGGCTTTGTCGAGGGCGGTGGTCAGCACAGCCAGGAGAGCAGAGGGTGGTCTGGGGAGAAGGACCTTGGGAGGCCCAGCTGCGTTCCCCTCGTGGGGCCCAGGTCCTGTGGACACATCCAGAAGAGAGCTGGGTGTTTCTGGAACGTTGAGTGAGGGGCTGGCTGAAGGGGAAGTGGGGTCGGTTAGTGGTGCCTTGGGAACCTCAAAGGGGAGCCCATGCTTTGCCTATAGATTACAGGGTCTGAGATCAGATCCTTACTCCAGAACAGTCACGGTGGCTGCTGCTGGAGAAGCCACGGACTGGAGGCTTAAAGAACTTGAGGCGGCCGCTGCTGCCATGACTGCAAGCGCTGAGGTGGGAACCCAGGAAAGGAGCAGAGGAAACCGACTTCAGAAATGTCTTGGAAGGGCCAGGGATTCAGCTCAGTGGCACCAAGCCTGCCTCACAAGCGCAAGGTCCTGAGTTCCATCCCCAACACCAAAAAAAAAAAAAAAAAAAAGAATTAAAAAGAAATGTCCTGGAGCTGGGTATGGTGCTCCACATACGTAATCCCAGCATGCTGGGAGGCTGAGACAGGAGGATGGCAAGTTCGTACCCAGCCTGGGCAACTTAGTGACTTAAGAGGACTCTGTCTCAAAGTAAAAAATAAAAAGGGCTGGGGATGTAGCTCAGTGTGAAGGACCCGAATGTAGCCCCCAGTACCACCAAAAAGAAAACCAAAAAAGTTCGGCCAGAGTTTAATCTGAGAAACAAGACAAGGATGCCCCTCAAGTTTCCAGTTGGGATGAGGGTGTCACCATCACAGGAAAAAACACCACGGGAGAGGTGGGCTGGGTGCTGACACCCGTCCCCTATGGAAGAGCTGGGGGATCCAGGTGGAAGTGTCCTGGAGGCAGCAGGAGACGCGGGTCTGAAGCCTGGGGAGAGGCCAGGGTGCAAGGCTGGACATGCTCCGGGGGCGGGGGGGGCACTGGGGCATCTTAGCATTCTGGCCCCTAAGTTCTCCTGTGCTGAGTGAGGCTGGGGCAGGGGCTGGGCCAGCAGGGGTATTAAGAAACTTGTGGGAAATGAGAATCGGAGCCCACAGGCCGGGGATGTAGCTCAGTGGTGCCGCCACCTGCCTCGAAAGCACAAAGTCCCGAGTTCGATCCCTGGTACCAGCAATGCAGAGCCTCGCTGGCTTCAGGGTCCTAAATCTTCATCTGCACCGATATGTCCACCTCCAGCTTTCTCCAGGACAAAGGATTCCATCAGGGAGGTTGACTGACTTGTAGTATGGGCTGGGCCTTGGTGGGAGGGTGTGGTGGAGGGAAGGGAAGGGAATGGAGCAGAGAGAACTGACTTCACCCGAAAGTACCACCCCACCTGTCCACACACTGCAGCTGAGGCTGGCCAGCAAGGGCTTCCCAGAACACCACACTCCCCACACACCTGTGACTTTCAGAGGAGTCAGGACGCCCCGGATGTCTTGCTGATGGCACGGTGACCAGGAATGAGATGTCACTCCCAGCCAGGGCAGTGAACCAGCAGCTGTGTCTTCTGCACCCTGCCCTTCCCCTCCGTCCAGTCTGATGCGCCTTTATGGACTGAACTTTTGTGTCCTCCCCAAGCCCCCACTGTAAAAGTATTTGGAGGGGGAGTATTAGGAGGTAATTGGGACCCAAGGGCAGAGCCTTTGGGTTGAGATTGTACCTGTAGAATGAAGCCAGCGAGCTGCTTGTCTCTTCCTAAGTGAGACACAAGGAGGAGTTTGCAGTCTGAAGCTCAGAGGAGGGGCCCCCCGGGGCCTGAGCATGTTGGTATCTTGATCTCAGACTTTTGGCCCCCTGAACCAAGGGAAATAAATTTCTGCTGCTGCTAAGCCACCGGCCTGACAGCCCTGGAAAGCACACGTTGGAGATGGCGGAGCCCGGCTCCTGGATCATCACCTGGAGGACGGGCATCCCTGCTCAGAAGCGTTCTGCAATCCGGAAATGAACTAGGTTGAGCTGATACACAGTTTGGGATGTGTTTGTTTTAGCAAATAGCATGACTTTAACTAACATAGGGCTGGAGAAAGTGGTTGGTTGTCCAGATGATCCAAATGAGTCGGGACAGAAGGTTGTTGATGACAGACGTGGTGGTGCATGCCTGTAATCCGAACACTGGGGAGGCTGAAGCAGGAGGATCAGAGCAAGTTCCAGCCTAGCCTGGAACTAGCAATTTAGCAGGGCCCTGTCTCAGAATAAAACATGGGCTGGGCTGTAACTCAATCCCCAGTCCGATACACAAAAAAAGTCATTGTTAAGGTTCAAGAGCAGGAGTGGAGGGAGGCCCAGAACCTAGAAAGGGGACACTGAGGCCTTTAATGTGACGTAGGAGGCTAAGATGTCAGAGGCTCTCTGACCTTGCAGCGAGTCAGGCAGGAGAAGCTGGGGAACACTGAGCAGGTTTGGAAATTGTGATGCTGGAGGTCAGGAATGATCTCGGCAGATTAGTCCACGTGGATGTTGGCATCTGGATGAAACAGGAAGTGGGGTGGGAGGAAGCCTCAGAGGGTCTGGCCCTGTCCTGCAGGTGGGGCACAGGGAAAGGGTGTCAAAAGAGAAAGCACAGACCACAGGACTGCCACCCCGGTCCTGCCAGCTGCCCTTCCGCATCATCCCTGCTGGGCCTTGCTCAGTTGGCCACAGGAGACCCATGTGACAGGGCCACTGCAAAGGCTGAGGCAGGCTCGCTTCATCCCCAAGACAGCGCGGTGCTGGCTTCAGCTGAGAAAGCGGCCTGGCACTCCCCAAAGCACTTCATCCGGCCTTCACCCATCAGGACACCTGAGTGATCAGTGAGACCCCGAAGGAGCAGGTGGTCCAGGCCAGCTCCTGATCCTTGGCCTGTGGTCCTCATTATAAAATTTCTCTTCTTTTTTTCATTTTTGTTTTGTTTTTTTGAGACAGGGTCTTGCTAGGCAGTTCAGGCTACCTTGAACTTACTGTGTGGCCCAGGCTGCCCTCAAACTCGTGATCCTCCTGCCTCAGCCTCCTGAGGGCTGGGATCACAGGCATGAACCCCTGTGCCCGGCTCCTTTTCCATTTTTTGGCATACACTGCCCATCATCTTAGGAAGGTTTGGGCCTCAGCCTGTCGTGGGCAGAAGGGTCGGCTGACAGTCTCCAAAAGGGCCTCCCTCCTAGCGACTCTTAGAGGAGTTTGAGTGAATAGCTCCAAAGCAAGAATAGGGTGACAGTCGCTTCGAGTCTGAGGGCCGCCTGGGCTACATAGTGAGACCATCTCAAAACACAGGACAAACAGAAAAGCAGCAGCAGCCTGCAGGCAGAGTAGAGAGTGCTGGCCCATCCGTCCTGTCCGAAAGCCAGGGCACCTTCTGTTCCGCTGTTCCCCTGCCCTGGTAACAGCTACTTCCCCACTCAGGGCCCAGGCTGGGGCTGAGCGAAGGGGTACTGACCCAGTGCCCCAGGCGGGAGGTAAACCTCATGGTGTACAGTAAGGACAAAGCTGCTGGCCCCATGCTCCCGGGCAGGGTGTGAGTGTGACTGACTGCCTTTCAGGCTGAGCTTTGAGGTGCACTTGTCCCCAGGCTATGGTGTGGGGCTGTGGTCATCTGCAGGCTGGGTGGCAGCAGGGCCTGCAAGCCAGCTCTGGGTGTTGGTCTAAGGCGTGGCCACTGCTTCTGCCCCCCAGAGCGAATGCTCTGAGAGAGGGTGAGGGACAGCTGTGACACCTCTTAGGATTCATGCGTCATCATTTCAGACGTCACACGCTCACTTCTGCAACAGCCTCTCGAGTATACCGGCCAGCCCTACTGAATGGAGGATAGAACTGAACAGGTCATGAACACCGGAAGGTGAGAGGCACTGTTTGTTTGTAGAAGCTGGCATCCACATCTGCCATCCTCAACACAAGCTTCATCCTTGTGTTCCAAGACAGCTGCAGTAACACCAGCTCTCACATCACAGTTAATGGATTCTAGCTAGTGGGGAGGAAGAAAGGAAGCGGGGTATGCTATTAGCCCTGAAAGATGTTTTACAGAAGTTAGCTGGACCATTCTGCTTCTACCTCATTGGTCAGAACTTAGTTTAGGATTTAGGATTCGGGGTGACTATGTGCTCATCTAGAGCAGGTACTGGGGGACAACTGGCAGTCTCGGCCATCTCAGCAATGGTCCCGTGTGTACTGGGAGGTTGGGGGTAGAGGAGCAGCACAGAGGACAGTCACTGCCTTGGGTTACTGCCCTCGCTAAGGACTCAAGACCCATTTTGTCTGGGAAGTGTGTGTGAGTGTGCAAGAGGGGTGCAGATTAGTGCCTTACCCTGTAATTAGTGAATCTCAGGGTAAAGAGAAAACGGTCCCTAGAGGAGACAAACGAGCACACAAAACAGCTCCAGTCCCGGCAGCCCAGTGAGGGATGGCCCAGAAGCGAGGCCGATCCAGGACCCGGAAGACCCTCACCAGAGGCGCAGTGAGGGCAGCCTCCTCTGTACACAGAGCTGCAGGCAGCCTGATTTATGGATCCAAATGTGGAAGCACAGATGGGCAATCCTACCAGCTGTGTTTTTAAAAGCTCATAAGATTCCTGATCAATGAACCGAAGAGACCAAACGCAGACGTCTTCAGGCCTGAGGAGCAGACCTGCCTGGGGACCTCAGGGACCAGAGCCAGGGCTGGAGCAGCCAGGCGGGCCCTGACTCAAGCTACGGTGGTGAGGGGAGGGTGGCATCGGCTGCCGAGGCCTGGCTGGGCAGAAGAGGAGCCATGCCTGGCCAGAGAACGCTAAGGCGCGAGGAGCCCACCAGAAGAGAAGCTGCCTGGGGGAAGGAAGACCAGGCTGTGGCTCGGCCAAGTGGCCGGGGACAGGCAGGGCAGAGACCCCAGAGAAGCACGGTCTCCAGCCAGACACCTGGGGCTGGGGCACCCACGAGGACAGCAGGTCCCGCCCAGGCCCTCGGGGCAGCAGCCCACTTCCACCTCTGACCGCTGCCGCCCTGGCAGGGAACCCTCCTTCGATCTGAGAGCAGGGTTGGCGGGACACCTTGGGCAGGCAGGCACGGGCCACAGCCCTCGCTCCTCCCTGCCAGAGAACTGCCGATCCTCGCCACACCGCCACTGCACACGGGTAGTTTCTAGGACCCCATGGGCCTCTCCTCCCCTCCCAGCCTTCCGCTCTGCTGGGGTGGAGTCCCAAGTTCGTACACAAGGCCTTGAGGGGCTCTGCAGGCTTCTGGTTTGAGGGGCCTCTCAAAAGAGACACCTGCAGCTGTGGCTGAGGCCGGGCTCCCACCTCGGGCAGATGGGGACATCTGTGGGGGCCGAGGGCACACAGGGAGGGGTAGTGAGGAGGGGGAAAAGGCCCAGAATGGGCTCAGGCCACCTGGGACTGTGCTTGCTTGTTTTGTTTTATTTTGGTACTGGGGATTGAGCCCACGGCTTTCTCACTGAGCTACATCCCCAGCTCCCCCTTTTTTATATTTCTTGAGACAGAGCCTCACTAAGTCACTAATTTGCCCAGGCTGGGCTCTAACGTGTGATCCTCCTGCCTCAGCCTCCTAGACTGCTGGGGATACAGGCAGGCACCACCTCTGTATCTCTGTTGCACCAGTGTTGTGACCGCCTACTCAGCGGCGAAGGCACTAACTACACCCTGGGGACACAGGGCAGAGGAAGGCTCTAGGACATCACTTCGGATGCATAAACAGAGTGATGCCGCAGAGTGCAACGTGCAGTGACGGGTGAAATCCAAGGTCCAGAAACGATGGGAGGCGTACATGCTGGAACAGTGATGTGGCGAGGCGCATAGAGCAGGTGACACTGGGCAGAAGGAGCCAGAGTCCTCTGCCACCAGCGGGGCCAGGAGGCAGGGCCTTCCAGGCTGCAGGAAAGGCAGAGCCCCCAGGACCGAGCTGGCAGCTTCCCGGGTAAGAGGACTTCCGTGCCTGGTGTGTTACTGTGCTCTGAAATCCCTGGGCTCCCTCGGGGTACACTGTACCCCTGATCCCCTTACACGGGGCAACTGGGCAGAGTAAGAAGAGGGGAGAAGATGCACCCCACGGGCAGCATTCAAGGGCTTCTTCTCCTCTTCAGGTCTTTGGTACTTAACCATGATGGGAGAGGCAGTGTATGTTAGGGAAGGGGTGAGAGTTTTTCGGCCTTGGAGAAGCTACACGAGCTCCATTCCTTCTCCATATGGGTCCCCAAGTGACTCCAGGTTGACGCTCAGACCTAACTGTCCCCAGCCCCTGCCCTCTGGTGGGCGGGAGGCAGGGCTGGGAATGCAATGGGGCACTCTGGCTTTCCACTCTGCTGTCAGACCCAGTCCCCTGAGCCCTTGGGCCTCTTCAGAATCAGTGGGACCCCCCCAAACACCCATCTTGTCTGAGGCACTTTCCAATACCCAAAACTTAAAGGAGAGGCTTGGCTCATGGTTTCAGTGGGTTCAGTCTATGGTCAGCCAGCCCCAAGGCAGAAAATACATCAGAGAACTGAATGTCAGAGGAAAACTGTTCGCCACAAGGTGGCCAGGAAGCAGAAATGGAGGAGCTGGGGATGAGAATACACCCTTCCAAGTCACACTCCCATCCCTTCCAACCATGACCCACCTTCAAAGGGAGACTTTGGGGGGATATTTTAGATCTAAACAATCACATGCCTCTTGTAGCCTGTCCTACAATATGAAAACATGAGATCCAGCTCATGCTGGCAGATTCCAGTCTCTTCTTGGAGTAGGTAAGCTTGCTTTTCCTGCAGGATGCAAGAAAATGTGAGATGTAAATAAATCACCAGGCAAACCAGAACTGAAGAGCTGCCCAGGAATCAAACACTTGTTCTCTGACAGCCAAAGGAATCTTGGTTCACTGAGGTCCAGCAGACATCACCTCCTCACTGGGTCAATGCAGGCAGGAGATGGAGCCAGAGCTACACTGGGTTGCCACCCAGTCTCCAGCTACAGGTGGATGAGGACCTTAGGCCCAGAGCTGCCAGGGAACAGGGAAGCCAGGAGGATGGTCCTGCCCTGGCCAAAGCAGTGCATGTGTCCAGGAAGCCTCTCCTCCTGCTTGCTGCTCTTCTCACTGAGATGTGCAAACAGCCTCCTGGTGGCCCTGGGTCCCCTCTCCCCTCCGCCAGCTCCAACCCCAAGGCCTAGCTCAGGTCACATCCTTCCGGCTCAGGAAACCTTTAATGACAAACACCTTGTGGGATTGAAGGCCTTACCCAACCTGCCTCTCCCCGCTCCCTCACGTGTGTGCTCCCATCCTTTTTTCAGCAGCAGGGCTTCGTGCATGCTAAGCAGGTGCTTATCGCTGAACTACACACCCCAGCACGTTTTCCTGCTAAGTTTCCTGCACGGGGCTCAAACTGAGATCCTCCTGCCTCAACTTCCTGAGTTGCTCGGATTAGAAGCATGCAGCACCACGCTCAGCCTGCCCATATTTCTCACACTCTACCCACAAAGATGCCCCGTCTTTATTCAGGGGATCTCACCCCTACCTGGCCCGCATGCCCTCTTGTCACTGCCGTAGACCCCTGGCCCACCTCCCCAGGCCCAGCTTCAGTGCTTCT